AAAATAGAAACAGAAGGAACATTGCCAAATTCTTTTTATGAGGCTACAATTACCCTGATATCCAAACCACAGAAAGATATTACTAAGAAAGAGAATTACAGACCAATCTCACTCATGAACATTGATGCAAAAATACTAAATAAAATACAGGCAAATCAAATCCAAGAATACATCAGAACCATCATCCACCATGCTCAAGCCAGCTTCATCTCAGAGATATAGGGATGGTTCAACATATGAACATCTGTCAATGTAATCAACCGTACAAACATAGTGAAAAATAAAAACCACATGAACATCTCATTAGGTGCCGAAAAGCTTTTGACAAAATACAGCATCTCTTCATGATAAAGGTCTTGGAAAGAGCAGGGATACAAGGAACATACCTAAACATAATAAAGGCAAAATACAGCAAGGCACCAACATCAAACTAAATGGAGAGAAAAACACAGCAATCCCATTGAAATCAGGAACAAGAAAAGGTTGTCCACTCTCTCCATTTTTATTCAATATAGTTCTTGAGGTCCGAGCTAGAGACATCAAATAAGACACCAAAAGAAGATCAAGGGGATACAAATTGAAAAAGAAGAAGTCAAACTATCACCGTTTGCTGATGATATGATAGTTTACACAAGTGACTCCAAAAACTCTACCAAGAAACTTCTACAACTCATAAACACTTTCAGTAATGTAGCAGGATACAAGATTGACTCAAAAAAAATCACTAGTCCTCCTGTACACAGATGATAAGAGGGCTGGTAAGAAATCAGAGAAACAACACCCTTCACAATAACCACAAGTAGCATAAAATATCTTGGAGTAACTCTACCCAAACAAGTGGAAGACTTGTATGACAAGAACTTTAAATCTTTGAAGAAAGAAATTAAAGAAGATACCAGAAAGTGGAAAGATTTTCCATGCTTTTGAGTAGTTAAAATTACCATGGAAAAAATGACAATCTTACCAAAAGCAATCTATAGATTCAATGCAATGCCCATTCTTCACAGACTTCAAAACAACAGCACTCAACTTCATTTGGAAAAGCAAAAAACCCAGGATAGCCAAAACAATCCTGTACAATAAAAGAACCCCTGGATGTATCACAATCCTTAACTTCAAACTCTACTACAGAGTTGCAGTACTGAGAACATCCTGGTATTGACATAAGAACAGACAACAGGATCAATGAAACCTTATTGAAAACCTGGATATTAATCCACACACCATGAAACACCTGATTTTTGACAAAGAAGCAAAAAATACAAAATGGAAAATAGAAAGCATATTTAGCAAATTGTGCTGGCATAACTGGATATCAACATGTAGAAGAAAGAAAATAGATCCATATATATCACCATTCACAAAACTCAAGTTTAAATGGATCAAAGATCTCAACATAAAGCCAGCCCCACAGAACATTATAGAAGAGAAAATGGAAAGTACACTTGAACACATTGGCACAGGAGACCACTTCCTAAATATAACCAAAGCAGCACAGATACTCAAAGAAACAGTTATTAAATGGGACCTCCTGAAACTGAAAAACTTTTTTTTTATTTTATTCTAATCTTTTATTTCTTTTTAAACAAAGGACATGACCAACAAGACAAAACAACAGCCTACAGAATGGGGAAAGTTCTTCACTAACCCCACATCAGGCAGAGGTCCGATCTCCAAAATATACAAAAAACTCAAGAAATTGGTTATCAAAAGAAAAAGTAATCCAATAAGAAATGGAGTACAGATCTAAACATAGAAGTCTCAACAGAGGAATCTCAAATGACTAAAAGACAATTAAGGAAATGTTCAACATCCTTAGTCATCAGAGAAACACAAATCAAAACAACTCTGAGATTTTATCTTCTACCTGTAAGAATGGCCAAGATCAAAAACACTGATGACAACTTATGCTGGAGTGTTGTGGGGTAAAGGGAACAATTCTGCGTTGCTGGTGGGAATGCAAGCTGGTACAGCCCCGTTGAATGTCAGTGTGGTGATTTCTCAGAAAATTAGGAAACTACCTTCCTCAAGTCTCAGTAATACCACTTTTGTGTATACATCCAAAGGATACTCAATCATGTCACAAGGACATGTGCTCAACTATGTTCATAGCAGCATTGTTTGTCATAGCTAGAGCTTGGAAACAACCTAAACGCCCCTTGACCAATAAATGGATAAGGAAAATGTGGTACATTTATACAATGGAGTACTATACAGCAGAAGAAAATAATGATATCTTGAATTTTGCAAGAAAATGGATGGAGCTAGAAAACATCAGTTTGAGTGAGGTAACCCAGACACAGAAAGACAAGTATCACATGTACTCACTCGTAAGTGGTTTTTAAACATAAATCAAAGAAAACCACTCCAAAAATCATAATCCCAGAGAACTAAGACAACAATGAGACGCTATGAGAGACATACATAGATATAATCTACATGGGATCTAGAAGAAGACAAGATCTCCTGAGTAAATTGGGAGCATGGGGACCTTGAAGGAAGGTTGAAGAGGAGAGGAGAGGCAGGGAGGGGAGCAGAGGAAAATGTAGAGCTCAATAAAAATCAATAAAAAGAAAAATCAATCAAACAAATAAATAAACAAAGGTGTGTGCCACCATGTCCTGGCTTCTATGGCTAACTAATGTGGCTAAGTTTGCAATCTGATCTTCCGGCAAGTTTTACTTGTTACAGCACAAACAAAATATTATCACAGAACCAAGTTTAGTTTGATGACAGAGCTAAAATAATTTATCCAAAAGAAGATACTAACATTATTCAAATATGTGTCTTCTTGTATCAACTATAATGATTCTTTTATAAATTTTTACCTATCACCGGTGCATAAACAAGCTTGTGGGAATCCATTCCCTAGTTGTGGAATGCCATGCTCAGTCTTACTGCAGGGGGAGGGTCTTGGTTCTTCCCTAACTTCATGGGCTAGAGTCTGCTGACTCCCCATGGAGGAATTGATGGGGTGGGCTGGGGTGAGGCGAAAGTGGTGTGAGGAGGGGGTGGGAAGGAGAACTGTGGTAAAAAGAAATTTAAATAAATAAATAAAATAAGAAAGAAAAACTTTTAATTGAAATACAATTTTTATCTTCCTTCTCCTCCCTCCCGTGACCCCACTTCTCCTAAAGTTCACAGACTTCTTTTCTTTCTTTTGAGACAGGGTCTCACTCTATGCCCTGGCTGTTCTGTAACTTACTATTTAGGTCATGATGATCTCACACTCACAGAGATGTGCCTGCCTCTGTCTCCCAAGTGTTGGGATTGAAGGTTTGTACCTTCAGGGCCAGTAATGGTTTCCTCTTCTTTAACTTACTACATATAAATTTAGATGAATATACCTAACTGCAACCTGCTGAGTCCATTGTATGTTTCTAAGGATGACCACTTAGTATGAGACAATCAGAGTGATCATCCCTGAAGAATACTAATTCTTCCTCTCTCAGCTGCTGATAATTGCCTGTAGATCTTCATCTAGTAGTGGGTTCCTTGGGACTTCCTCACATGTTGTTGCAATTGTGCAGGTCTTGTTTAGACAATCATGCTGTTGATATTTCATTGGTGTCCCTTCCCTGGTATAACTAGAAGGTACATTCTCACAGAAGATTCCCTGGTCCTTTGGCTCTGAAAATCTTTCTGCCCCCTTTTCTGAAATATTTCCTTAGCTTTATGTGCAAGAATTGTGATATATCTATGGATCAGTTGAGGAGAATACCATTACTCATTGTTCTTGTCTTTTTGACTAGTCCTGTTTCATGTAGTGGTCTCCTTATATTTCAAAGGAATCTTTTTGTTGAGAGGAGAGATCTACATTTACATGTGGATATCAAGATAAGTTTAGTAAGGCAGCTAATTAATTATACTGGTTTAGAAGAATGGTCAAAGTAGGTTTACCTCTATGATCCATAATGTTCCTAGGCTTTTATATTGAGCTAGGCTTTTAGGCATCATTTCCCTACTTTGAAAAGGTTTTCCATCCAATTAGATAGTTGTTGGTTATTACCATGATGTGAGTGCCACTATTTCACCTTTATGGATAATGTGCCATGATAGATCTTGTTTTGATTCATAGGTAATATAACTAGGTAGGACTATTGGTTGCGTCACACCATTAGCAGTTTGTACATAGCCATCTGTTATGATGAAAGCAGATACTCAGTACTTTGGAGTTAATTTCAGCTGACACTTTCTGAGTCATTTTTGTAAATCATGTGGTATCTTCAGCAATATGGACTTACCTTCATACCTCCGGGAGATAAGCAACAGCAATAACAAAAGATTCTATATGTCTGTGGAGTCTCTTGGTATTCCCTGACCAAATCTCAATAGGGGGATTCTCATAGCTGGTACTAGTGTATTTTTCCTTGGAGAAGTATTGCCACCCTAGTGTTTTAAGTTCACTTCATGTATATATGCATTTTCTATAACATTATATACATTTGTATATATTATAATAGTGGTCCTTATCCATCTATCAAGAATTTTTGTTGGCATAGCCATATCTGATGAAGTTGGCAAAAGTCAGAAGGCAATTATAGCTGCTTGACATGGATCTAAGATACCTGAGACACATGATGGTCCCAGAAGGTGGCTGTTCCCATGTCTCTAGCAGTTCATCTTGACATCTTGACTCTAAATTTTTAAGATATTATTTTAATTATTTGTATATATGTATGTCTTTGTATGTGTTTGTTAACATGAGTGCAATGAACACAAAGGCCAGAAGACTATGTTTGATCCCTTTGATCTGGAACTGCAGGCAGTTTTAAGCCACCTGAAGTGATGCTGGGCTGAACTCAGGTCTTCTGCAAGAGCCGCATATGCTCCTAACAGCTGTCCCTAGTTTGAGTCTCTTTTGATGAATATTTATTGAAAATTAAGCATAAAACTTGCAACCAGGAAGATGGTCAGTATCTATTAAAGAAGTAGTGACTGTTTTATACATGTTTTGTAACGAATCTCATGGAGGGAAAATATATTTTATTTGTCCAGGTGGATTTATGAAAAGAAGTATCACTAGGTCTCAGAATGAAGAATGGAAGAGAATTCGAACATTGTTGTCTCCAACCTTCTCCAGTGGAAAACTGAAGGAGGTAAGAAAGTGGAGGACTTATCACTGTAAATGTATAAGACTGTGTCTGAGGACAGATAGAGTAATATCATTCTCACCACAATTCTTTGAGCTTAATATTCTTTAGAATGGATTTTGTTCTTTCTAGGTCTTACACAGACCATTAGAATATGTGACTGGCCTTTCATCATTTCAAAAGCCTTGTTATATTGGGACTCAAAGCCTTACATTAACAACAGACTGTGTTGTGTTTTGTGATTAGATGTTCCCCATCATCCAACATTATGGAGATTCACTGGTGAAACACATTGGTCAGAAGGCAGAGGAAGGCAAGTCTATTAACATGAAAGAGTGAGTAGTGATGAATGCATTTTCTGGGGCCTATTTCCCACATCTGGAGATCTCTCCAGCCTGCGAGGTAGCTAATCTTCCCTGTGTTAATTATTTCAGGACAATATTTCCTGTGTTGAATTAACCGAGAGCTAGAGTAAATGTGGGGTGCGATGTTATACAGCTATGAACTATTTGATAAAGAGAAACTTCCAAATCACCTTGGTAAACACAAGGTGTTAACCCACCTACTGTGTACATGAAACAATATTAGATTAACTGTTGTCATCCTGCATTTTCTGGAAGACAAACTATATATCTTAGAAAGAACATAATCTTAGGACAGCTACAGTTGTGGAGATTGGGAACTGTGGGAGGAGAGTGTATATGGAACATTCTCAGGAGTTGGTTTGGCTAAGAGTGTTACAGATTGTAACATTGAACAATATAAAATCATAGTTTTTGTTGAGGCACATAGAAAAATATCAAAAAGAAAAAAAAATCTTCTCCCACATCTCTATCAAACTCAAAAGCAAGAGGCTTCCCGAAATGGAGAATTTAGTAAAGTCCTGTTATATCAAGATGACATTGAAATGGTAATCTTAGACTGTCCTGAGCATACGAAATACAAACTATCAATAACTCTAATGTACTAAAAACTTGGTAAGTCTATTTATATATATATTTTTTATTTCAACAAATTAAAGTTTTTATTTATATACAAATATTTTTTTCAAAGTTTATTAAATTATAAAAGTTTCCATTTCCGCGCCTCCTCCCAGCACCCTCCCACTCCCCACACTCCCTCTCCTCCTCCCTCTCCATCCCTAAGACCAGTCAGGGTTTCCTGCCCTGTGGGAAGTTCAAGTTCCTCCCCCTTCCCTGCAGGTCCAGGAAGGTGAGAATCCAAACAGACTGTATCCCAAAAATCCAGTATATGCAGAGGAAACAAGTCCCAGTGTCATTGTCAATAACTTTTCAGAAAGACTCCGGGTCAGCCACATTCAGAGAATCCGGCCACATTCAGAGAATCTGGTTGGATCACATGCTCGTTCAGTCCTAGTCTAACTGGCCTTGGTGAATTCTCATTAGATTGGCCCCCTTGTATCAGTGGGTGATCGCACCCCTCGCGATCCTGATTTCCTTTTTCATGTTTTTCCTCCTTCTGCTCCTCATTTGGACCTTTGGGGACTCAGTCCGGTGCTCCAATGTGGGTCTCCATCTGTACTGCCATCCATCGTCGGATGAAGGTTCCCTCTGGTCTTGCCTTCTTTGCTCACATTTTCTTTCCTTCTGCTTCTCGTTTGGACCTAGGGAGTTAAGTCCAGTTTTCCTATGTGGGTCTTTGTCTCTATCTCCATCCATCGCCAGATGAAGATTCTGGGACTCTTGTCTATTTCCAATCTCCAGGAGGATAACTACATGATTTTCTTCAGGTTCACCTTCTTATTTAGCTTCTCTAAGATAACAAATAATAGGCTCAAAGATCTTTAATTATGGCTAGAATCCACTTATGAGTGAATACATACCATATTCCTATTTTTGGGTCTGGCTTACCTCACTCAGTAAAACGTTTTCTATGTCCATCCATTCGCATGCAAAATTCAAGATGTCATTGTTTTTTACCGCTGAGTAAAACTCTAATGTATATGTGTTCCACACCTTCTTTAACCATTCTTCTATTGAGGGACACCTAGGTTGTTTCCAGGTTCTGGCTATTACAAGTAGTGCTGCTATGAACATAGTTGAACAAATGCTTTTGTGGTATGATAGGGCATCTCTTGGGTATATTCCCAAGAGTGGATTAATCTGACCACTTTGAATCAGATAGAAGAGAAAGTGGGAAGTAGTCTACAAGACATAGGCACAGGAGACCACTTCCTAGGTAGAACCCCAGTAGCACAGACAATAAGAGAATCAATGAATAAATGGGACCTCCTGAAACTGAGAAGCTTCTGTAAAGCAAAGGACACTGTCAGTAAGACCAAAAGGCTACCTTCTGACTGGGAGAAGATCTTCACCAACCCCTCATCAGATAAAGGCCTGATCTCCAAAATATACAAAGAACTCAAGAAACTAGACACTAAAACTCTATTTAACCCAATTTAAAAAATGGGGTGCTGATTTGAACAGAGAATTCTCAACAGAAGAACTTCGAATGGCTAAAAGACACTTACGGTCATGCTCAACATCCTTAGTGATCAGGGAAATGCAAATCAAAACCACTTTGAAATACCATCTTACACCGGTCAGATTAGCTAAAGTCACAAACACCAATTGTAGCCTATGCTGGAGAGGATGTGGAGAGAGGGGAACTCTCATCCATTGTTGGTGGGAATGCAAACTTGTGCAGCCACTGTGGAAATCAGTGTGGCGGTTTCTCAGGAAACTGGAAGTCAACCTCCCTCAAGACTATTTTTATATTTTACTCAGAAATATCCTTTTTTCCTATATTACACAGGATGACTTTTTCCAGGGTATCACAGTTTCTGAGAGTTTGAGTAGTTTGCATGCTTTATGCGTTCAAGACAGGGGCTGCGTGGGTCACATACTAACTCCTGTCTCTTGACTCAGGATCTTTGGAGCCTATAGCATGGATGTGATTATTAGTACCTCATTTGGAGTTGTAGCGGATTCCCTCAACAATCCCCAGGATCCCTTTGTGAGAAACATCAAAAAGCTTTTAACATTTGACATTTTCATTCCATTGCTTTTCTCTACAGGTATATAGATTGTTTTTCAACTATATTAAGATATTAGACATATTTTAATAAACGTATAAAGCAAAAAGATTTCTCATAGTATATATATAAACCCTTGCCTCCCCATCTTGCTTTCACTCCCATATGATCTGGTTCTATTATCACCCATTGTATTTTCCCAACACATGTGGTTATCCATCATTCCTACATATTTTTGATAAGTATTGGATGATCATGGCATTTTTGTCTTTAATTTACTAAACTCATTATTAATATACATTTACATACATCAATTCATTCCTTCATCTCTTGAATTAAAGTTAATTTAATGTCATCTGCTTCAAATGTTTCTGATTTTTTGTTATGGATAGTATATTTATTTTAAGAGTAGGTGTAGAAGTCTCTATCACAGCTTTGGAATGAAGATGAATTCCCTCAACATCCCCAGGTATCCTTTGTGAAAATTATTAGAAAGCATTTAACATTTTGGCTTTTATCTATAGCTATGTAGGGCATTTTAAAAGTCTACCAATATGCTAAATTTGTTTTAGCTAGCATAGAAAGTAAAAATACTTATGGCATACACACATATGCATACACACACACACACTACACTACATTATATTCTCTTCTATGTCTCTATTTAATGTTCTGACCCAATATCCTCCTTTATCTTTGCATATTACATATGTTTTTATTAGTTTTGGTGAATGTTTAATGTTGAGTTGTTAAATATGAAAAAACAATGATTTCTGTCCTTGAGCGCATTTATGTCAGGATTTATATTTATACATTTACGTATACTGAACCATCTCTCCATCATTGGAATGAAAATGAAATGAATGTAATTTAATTCTTGTTACATTACTGATTTCCTACTGTCTTTATTTTCTTCATTCTCTTTTCCTTAACAGCTACCTTAGTATTGTTTTTCCCCTCTAGACTTTTTAAATGTGTTTATCTTTTTCTTGAGGATGAAGTATTCCTTCCAGTATGTTCTGTAACATGGCTAAAATCATTTAGCCTCACTTATCCCAAATAATATTTCTTTCTTCTTTGATTATCATCAATAGTTTGTTGGTATGTTAATCTTTCTGAGCAGGTCTTGATTTTCAAAGACTGAAATACATCTTCTAAGCCCTATGATCTTACGTGATTTGCACTGAGAATTCAGCTGTGACACTGATGGATCTATCTTGATCTGTGACTTGGTCCTTCCCTCTTGCTTGTTTCAGTACACTTCCTTTATTCTGTGTGTTGTGAGCTTTTACCTTTAATATGATATAGGATGTTTCTTTTCTGCTCATGCCTATGTAATGTTCTCTCTCTCTACACTTTTGTATCTACATGGACATCTCTTTCTTAGGTTTGGGAAATTTTCTTCTATGTTCTTATTGAAAATATCTTATATAACTTTGACATGAAAATCTTCTCATTTCTCTATGCTGAAACTCACAGACTTTTTCTTGGTCTCCCAAAAGCCTTTACAAGTTATACCTACCCTCTTGATCAAATTGATCACTAACCATAACTGAATGGTCCTATTCCTCTGTCTTGTCTCTCGGTCATCATCTTTTCTCATATATATTACTCATTTTATCTTTGATCTTTCCCACAGAATCTTTTTTTTTTTAGTAAATTTTATTAAATTATAAAAGTTTCCATTTCCACCCCCCCTCCCAACACCTTCCCACTCCCCCTACTCCCCCTCCTCCTCCCTCTTCGTCCCCCAGGGCAGTCAGGGTTTCCTGCCCTGTGGGAAGTTCCAGTTCCTTCCCCCTCCCTCCAGGTCCAGGAAGGTGAGTGTCCAAACAGACTGGATCCCCAAAATCCATTATATGTAGAGGAAACAGGTCCCAGTGTCATAGTCAATGGCTTTTCAGAAAGACTTCGGGTCAGCCACAGTCAGAGAATCCGGCCAAATTCGGAGAGTCTGGTTAGATCACGTCCTCTTTCAGTCCCAGTCCAACTGGCCTTGGTAAACTCTCATCAGATCCGTTCCCTTGTATCAGTGGGTGATAGCATCCCTCGCAGTACTGATTTCGTTTTTCATGTTCTTCCTCCTTCTGCTCCTCATTTGGACCTCGGGGGGCTCAGTCCCGTGCTGCAATGTTTCCCACAGAATCTTATATTTGAGTTAATAGATTTTTCATTTCTGTCATTATCTCATTGTTGTTTCCCTTCTGAATCTCTATCTTTTTATGAAATTTTATTTAATATCTTTCCTCAATTCCCTGAATTCTTTAAGCATTTAGTGTTTTCTTGGAATTATTCAGAAGATAGGTACGTGTTTTTTGAATTTTTTGAACAAATTTGTCATCACTTTGATTTCTAATATAGAGTTATGTCTGCTTATCTTTTTAAGAGTTGCTATTAACTTAATAATTATTGAAAGAAAATTGATTTAGTTTTTCATCTTACTAGTGCTTTACTGCTGAGATTTTTTTATCTGTCTTTGCATTAGAAGTTAAGTTTTCTTGTTGATTTAATTCATATCATCTTTCTTCCTTCAGTGGGAGTGTTTTGTGTTAAAGAAAGTCTATGTTTGAGTAGGGTTGAGATGAATTTTCTTCTGTTAGCCTTGTGTTCAGGGCTTCAAGATCTCCACTCAGTCATTTACAGACAGTTGATCAATGTCTTCAACATGAGTTGTTGTCCATCAGTAAGACTGCCATGAAAATATATTGATAGTCAATTAAGAAGCTATCTTTAGAAAGTCCTTAAGTTCAAATGTTTTAGCAGCTAAGGCATACTGAATTCTCTCTCTACTACTTAGCTGTTTGTACTATAAGTGAGAATAAGGGAGAAGATATGTAAGAAGTAAACCTTGGAGAAACTAGTGGCTAATTGAATGTTTCTTAGTAGGAAATGGGGAGAAATGTGTATATAGAAAGGAAAAGGTAGAGAGAAAAAAAGATGGGGAAATCTTGTTTAAATATAGACTGGAAACAGAAGGTTAAGGCTGTGCACTCATATCATATAAAACAATCTCATCTCTCTGAAAGCTGAGTCACAGATATACTGGGAACAAGACCAGTCTATGTTTTAAGAAAGAAGAAAGGTTATAGAAAAAGGTTTGTAAAACAAAGAAATCATATAACATAAAAAGTGAGAAAAGTAGGAATCTATATTGACATAGGATATGATAAAAAACAAGAAATAGCTGTAGTGGAGAGTAAGACTGTGGAAAAATTTTGATAAGAAAATAACTTGGCCATAATATCAGGTTGTCTCACCAAAGGAGGATCCTTGGCATTATTCTCTTCCCTAAGTCCTGCTTGATAATATATTTGATGTTGAGTTTCCTCATCAAAATCTTCCCTGGGTCAGCCCAATGAAGGTTATGTGGCCAGGAGGATCAGTGTGCAGTGGGGGCCATGACTATTTATGTTTTAATGATTTTGTGAATGGTGTTTTCTTGCTAGTTTCACATTGGTCTTGTTTTGTTCTATTAAATATGAATGCAGTTAAGTAAAGGAGCAGTTTTGTGTCAGTTGTGTTGCTGAATGCTTTTAATTCCTAAGGTAATGATATAGAGGCAGGATGATTGTAATTCTTGGTCTACTTGACCTAAGAGCAGGATTCTTCTTCAAACACAGGGCTTAGGGATGGGACTTTGTGGTATGATGCTTGGCTAGCAGTTCTAATGTTGCTTATTTCACCACGAACATTGAATTTTTTTGCTTATTTTATTCAGATTATATTTAGCAATTAAGTCTGCTCTCAAACATGTGATTCTCCCCCTCAGCACTTAGAGGGATGTAATACTGAGAGTACCAAAACTCAGAGTTGCAGCTTACTTTTGTGTATCCTTGTATATTGATGCTGAACCCTGGTAGACTATAAAACTTTTGGTTATAGTCAATGAGGAGTAGTGAAGATAAAAAGAACAAGCTATCGTGGTCCCTTTTTAACTTATAAGGAAACATCTTCTCTGTAAATATCTGTGTAAACTCTTGGTTTTCATAGACATTTTTATCAAGTTAAGAGAATTCCCTGAACATCTAATTTTATGAGAGCACTAGACAGTAAGGATTATTGGAGACCCTGTTCTAAATTTTCAAATTACTTCATTCTATGTGCTTGTGTGCCACTTGATTTTATTCTATTTGTACCTCTTTGGATAGCATGCTTCAAGGTATCATGTTTCTGCATCATTGTGAAAAGTGTTTTATTGATGAAATCTCCATCAAATGTATAAGTCACATTTGACACAATTTTACTTTGCATGACATATTCTGGTATGATTAAGAAGATAGTATAAGCCTTTAAAATGAATTCTGAAGCTTTTTGTAATTTTGTAAGTTTTGAACCTTCCTGTGAAGAATTGGTTTTGGTTTTCTGTAAGTATTTTGTAGAATTCCTTACTGAATTCCTGTGGAGAAAATGTATTCTTTGTTTATATGTTTTTATTAAAACTTCAACATCCTTACACTGACAAGGATATTTTTGTCCTCCAGTTATGTTTGGTTCTATGTTAGGTTTGTAGGTCCTGACACTCTAGGCAATATTTGTGTGGTCATATTCTCATGCCCAAGTAATCCTTCAGAAGAGGGAGAAAAGGATTATAGAAACAGGGGAGTCAAACATTACAAGAATACTCACAGAACCAAATGACCTGGGCTCATAGGGACTCATAGGGACTGAACTGACAATGAGAAAGCCTGTATGGGATTGACCTAGGCACTCTGCATGTCTGTTACAGTTGTGTAGCATGATCCTCTTGTGGGACTCCTATTAGTAGGAACAAGGGCTGTCTCAAACACTTTTACTGCTCCTCATAGTGGGTTACTTTGCCCAGCCTTAATGTATGGGGAGGTGCTTAGTCTTTCTGCAACTATATATGTCTTGTTTTGTTGACAGTCATTGGAGACCTTCCCTTTTAAACAGAAAAGAAGGTGAGTGGATTGAGGGGTATCAACAGGGTGCGGTATTGGGAGGAGAGAAATGAGGAGATACTGTAGACAGGATATAAGATAAATAAATAAGCTGTAGGAGTTCTTTGGTAGAGTTTTTGGGGTCACTTATGTACACTATCGTATTGTCTGCAAATAACAAAAGTTTAACTTCATTCTTTCCAATTTGAATCCCCTTGATCCCCTTATGTTGTCTTATTGCTATTGCTATAACTTCAAACACTATATTGAAGGGGTATGGAGAGAGTGGACAGCCTTGTCGTGTTCCTGATTTTAGTGGAATGGCTTTGAGTTTCTCTCCATTCAATTCGATGTTAGCTGTCAGCTTGCTGTATATTGCTTTTATTATATTTAGGTATGATCCTTGTATCCCCAATCTCTCCAACACCTTTATCATAAATGGGTGTTGAATTTTGTCAAATGCTTTTTCAGCATCCAATGAAATGATCATATGGTTTTTTTCTTTCAGTTTATTTATATGATGGATTACATTGATAGATTTGCGTATGTTGAACCAGCCCTGCATCTCTGGGATGAAGCCCACTTGATCATAATTGATGATTTTTCTAATGTGTTCTTGGATTCGGACCTGGACCGAGGGACCTGGAGGGAGGGGGGAGGAACTTGGACTTTTCACAGGGCAGGAAACCCTGACTGCTCTTGGTACTGGAGAGGGAGTGGGGGGAGCAGGAGGGTATTGGGAGAAGGGGTGGAAGTGGAAATTTTTATCAATAAATAAATAAATAAATAAATTTAAAAAAATTTACAAAAGCAATAAAAATAAATGCTAGTAAGGATATGGAGAAAGAGACTTTTGTTCACTGTTGATTTGAACATCAATATTTCAATATTCGACTAGTTATGGAAGTTTTTTTGAGAAATGTATATAAAATAATCATAAAATATAAATAAATAAATTTATTTTAAAGATTTAAGATCTTAAGATCTTATATATTTTACATTTTTTTAGCTTTTCGGCCAATTTTGTTTCTGTCACTAGATTTGATTGTTTTATTTTTTAATTATACAGTTTTTAACATTGATGAATAAAGTAACTGACAATAGGTAAAGTTAACATTTCATCATGGTGTTTCTTTTTCTCTATAGCACTCTTTCCATTCCTTAAAGGACTATATGAAAAACTGAATATCTGCATTCTTCCAAGTGATGCTACAAGTTTTTTACAAAATTTTGTGAATAAAGCAAAAAAAAAGATTGATTGGCAGGTAATCAGAAGGTAAAATGTATTAAAAATTTAATTTCAATTTAAAAGTATTTCTGTCACATGTCACACATTCCCTATGGAAAGTCTCATTAAAATATTTGATGAATTCGTTCTCTTTAATCTTTGTTGTGGCTTGCCATTAAGTTGGGAAATTTCTTTGAGCATTGAGAATGGCACTTGAATAACACAGCTTTGCCTAATGAGACCAGAACATGACAGGAAGTTACTGTCAGTAAGATACTGAAGAATTAGTATCTAAGCAAATTTTTATTGCTCTGGGTATTTGGAATATTTGCACATAATCACATAAAATCCAGCAATGAGCTCCAGAAACAGCAGTCAATAAATATGGGATGTTGTTTAAGAATAGGTTAAGTAAACAAAAGGCTGATATTCAGAACTTTTTGTTAAACAAATGCATATGACAGAAAAAGAAACTGACAACCATTCAGTCAGGGGTCTGTCATGAGTAACTTCAGATGCTCAGAATGAGGAAAAGCCCTGAGAAAAGGTGTTGGACATGGCACCATGATACTAGAGTATGACAGACTTCTTATTCTCCAAAATCTGTAAATAACAGTTTTTGTAACCAGTGATTTAGGCAAACTTAACCATAGACTGGCATTAAATAAGTCATAAAAGAATATAAGGTCTCCATCCCATACTCATTTCTTACTTAACAACACAACTTCTGACTTTGATATTTCTGTCTCTTTTCAGCACCGAGTGGATTTTTTTCAGCTGATGATGAACTCCCAGAATTTGAAAAACGTGGAGAACCACAAAGGTAATAAAGGATGCTTTCCAGTCTAAAGAGAAGCACAGGCAGAGATATTTGTTTTTGAAATGTAGACAGGATCACTTAAGCAGAAAAGGCTTCCTGTTAAATTGCAATGAGGCACAGACATGTATTTAAAAAGCAGCAGCCTGAGGAACTTTCTAAAATCTTGGAGTATCTGCATAAAGAAAATACCAAAGTTATTGTACCTTCCATCTATGACAGAAAAGAACAACCATGCATTATCAATAGCATGAATGCCTAAAAAAGACCTGAATTGTCCCAATAATAGCTGACATTCTAACATACATGGGGACAATTTCATGAAAACCCATGCTTAGTTGGAGAGATACATATAAATAACAACTGCTGAGAGAGAGATAATTAGATTTCCTCAGGGATTAGTCCATGATTGATTATCCAATACTAAATGGTCAACCCGGAAACAAATTCAAGAAGGCAAGGCAAACTGAGCAGACTGAGCATGTTGTAGTTATATGATTTTTTATTTCTGTATTAATAAAAATTGTTAAGGAACTGCTAAATTAGAGGAAAAAGTGTGGCCTTGGAATGGGAGGAGGGAGGAGAGAAAAGAAGAAATGAAATAATATTTTAATTAAGATTTTAAAATCTGTCTAATTTTATTTTACCTCTTTCTGATGTGGAGATCATGGCCCAATCAATCATATTTATTTTTGCCGGCTATGAGACTACAAGCACTACTCTTTCCTTTATTATGTATTTGCTGGCAACTTATCCTGATGTCCAAAAGAAACTCCAGCATGAGATTGATTTAGCCCTACCCAAGAAGGTAAGTTGATAGACTTGGAGATAGAGGGGAAAGGTGAAACCTCAACATGAAAATAGTTCCATACTTGTATTTGGAATTATAGTTAGTACAGTAAGAACCGATACTTTCAGCAATAGTGTCTGAAAATTCGGCAGAGGGAAAATATGTGTACAGAAAAACTAATCTCTGTAATTCTGTACAGAGCCTGAAACATCCGCTATCTCTTAACTACAATAACACATTCTAAACGATGAATAAAATCTCTTTAGATTTTTAATGATAAGCAAGTGTCAAGCAAGTATTTTCTTAAACTTAAATGGGTGTTTTGCTTACATACCTATATCTGTTTTTTATGTACATATCTGAAATGTGAGTAAGCCAGAAAAAGGCATCAGCTTCCTAGGAACTAGAGTTCTAGGAATTATGCTCACCATGTGGGTACTGTGAAATGAGCCTGCACACTCTGCAAGAACCTTCAATGTTGTTAACTACTGAAGCATTCCCCTAGAACCTCAAACAAGTGACCTGATACCTCTATTATTATCAATGGAAATGCTATGGTATGACTGCTATTAATGGACCCTTGCCTTGTCTCTGCTGGGCAAGCTGATTCAGCTATTCTCATTATTGCTCTCTAATCATATGATTCAATTTGAACAAAACAGATCATGGCGGCTTTCAACCTACACTGTTCACCTCTACAGTATGGTAGCTTCAGTGTCTCACAAAGTGACAGCTACATATCATATAAGCTGTTTTCTCATCTATGCCCAAAATTAGATGCAATGAGGTGTAAGGGACCTACTGTGGGACAATGTTTTTATCCTGTAAACATTTGTTTCTTGTATTTGTTTAATAAAATGCTGATTGGCCAGTAGCCAGGCAGGAAGAATAGGTGGGGCAAAAAGAACAGGAGAATACTGGGAAGGGGATTCTACAGTCTGCAGTCGTGACTAAGCCACCGAAGAAGCAAGATGTGACTGCCTTGCCAAAAAAGGTACCAAGCCACGTGGCTAACTCAGACAAGAATTATGAACTAATGTAAGTTACAAGTTTTAGGAAATAAGAAGCCTGAACTAATGAGTAAATCAGTTTATAACTAATGATTACTAATAAAGACTTCTTTGTGATTTGTTTGGGACTTAACAATTCCAGGAACTGGGCAGGACAGAAACCTCAGTCAAGAAAGTACCTATATTCTGGGATCAGCTATGTTGTCAGTGAGGTGCCTTCAAAGCATCTTCAGGCCTCATACTCACCCTCTGTTTTTGTTTCATTATGTAACTGTAATAAATACCATGACCCAAAACAACTATGGGAAGTAAACAATTACTTCATCTTATATTTTCATATGATAGTCTATCACTGAGGAAAGTCAATAAAGCAACTCAAGACAGGAGCTTGGAGACAGGGCTGCATGCCACCCTACTTATCACTACTTCTGACCAAGGTACTCCCTCACCACCAATAAAGCACACCAGGACATGGAGGATGCTGGCTGCTCTCTGGTCCACTCATTGACCATAATTTAGATGTTCTCCTACAACTCAAATTTATCCTATAAGGATACAGTACCACTTGCAATTGGCAGGACCCTGCTACATCAATGAATCATCTGGACAACTCTGCCAGATACACACAAACAAATCTAATCTAATTCCTATTCTTTCATCTAGACCTCCTTCTCAGTTGACGAGGCTGTGGAATATTGGAAGTTAAAGATTCATTAGAACACCATTTTAAGCACCAGTGGAGGTGCTCTATCAGGAACTAAGCATAGAGCTGTTTGGGCTTTTAACTGGAATAGAAATTTTTGCTCAATTAGTCTCCATTTTTATCCATTTAACCATGATGAGTTTCAAAGAAAAAAGATCTTATTGATGTTAGTCACTGTAATTTCATACACTATTCCTGTTTACTATGGCATTGGTTAATAAGAACATTCTAATTGCTCATTTATAGTAATGTTAAATTTAATCACAGGATTTAAAAACTGTGAATTATCCTCTGAAGGATTGATATGGATTTTTTAAAAAAGAAATAACAATTATCTTCTTTATATTTCCACAGTCTGAACTTGTGGCCCTCTTCCTTAATAAGTTATCACACTCTCAATAACTAATTTATGTTGAAGAGAAAGACATAATATCCCTTTGATTATTACTGAAAAGGAAAATCGTGCAAAAGAACACTCAAGATTTGGACCTAAGTATAAGTTTCTGTGAATATTCTTCAATCCTTATGGATTTCAGTGGCCCTTTAGAATGTGAACATACATGACTATTATAAATAAGACTTATCAGTGATAAACCCAGTCACTAATATTGTTGAATGTGGAGTTCCTAGAAACATAGAAGTACTTTATAGTTTGTCATGAAAGTTAGTTTCAAATATCCAAATCAGCAAAATCTTCTTTTTTAATCTTCCCAAGCATCTGCCACTTATGAAACCCTACTAGATATGGAATATCTTGACATGGTAGTGAGTGAAGCTATGAGATTATATCCAGTTGCTTACAGGGTTAGCAGAATCATTAAGAAAGATGCTGAAATCAATGGTATACTCATTCCTAAATAGACTGTGGTGATTATACCTGTCTTTGCTCTACACCGAGATCCAAAATATTGGTCAGAGCCTGAGGAGTTCCGTCCTGAAAGGTATGAGGACCCTGAAAAGGGGAATGTACACAGAATAAGACTTCTATAAGAGGGTTAATATGCCCAGCCTATTTCTGTAATCACATTAATATAAATTGATATTATCTTGCATGCATGTTTGATTTCAGAATATTAGTAGTACAAAGTGATAATTATAGAAGAAAATATATGCATTTCAACTGAACAAAAAATGATAATTCCATATTTTGTAATTTTGTTTTAGAGTATCAAAACCTGTATTAGTCATAGTTTCCAATACTGTGAAGAGACACTATGACCATAGCAAATTTTATAAACAAAAACATTACATGGGGGCTGGCTTAAAGTTCAGAGGTTTAGTCTGTTATCATCAAGACAGAAAGTGTGGTGGCTTGTAGGCAGACATGTGCCTAGAGAAATAACTGAGAGCTCTACATCCAGATCAGCAGGCAGCAGAAATAAAAGACTGAGCCACAATACCTGGCTGAGCCTCAGAGACCTCATAGGCACCCCCAGTGACACACTTCCTCCAAAACGGCAACAATTCCCAATTGTGCCAGTCCTTATGATCCTGTGGACCACTTTCATTCAAACTGCCACAAATACTTAATACCAATTTCAATAATATATGAAATGATTGAATATATTGCTAAATGTGTATAGATATTTAAATATTAGAAAAATATAAGTTTCATCCTGTTTTTATAAATTATTGCTTTCTATGACCTACAAATGCTGTTTTGTAATACATGCTTGTGTGTGTATGTGAGAATGAGTGTATGTGTGTCAAAAAGAACAAACACAATTAACATAATTAGAAAACCAATTAGATAATTTTCTAAATTGTTAGGTTATTATTTCTTTAATGTTGGTCATATTGTCACTAGAACTCTTGGACACCTTCCAAAATGTAAAAATCATATTCCTCTCTCTATATTTCTTCAAGTACATAACCTCTTTTTTTCTCAAATTATTATTTAGATGCTCATATGTATTGGTGTGGATTATATATACCTATAAATAACCTGACTAATTTATATCATGTTCCTCATGTAAAAATGATAGTTTAAGATAGATGCAGTTAAACTAGGAGACCAAAAATTTATACACCTCTGTCGTGAAGTTCTGGATGCCTATGATATTGTATTCTTAGCCATGTGTCTCTGGTGTTGGCAGTTGTTCTCTATATAGTGCTTATTAGACAAGAAGAATTGACTTGCTCCTGTTTTCTGATTAGGTTAATTCTATGTCCCATCTATATAGCCACCACATACACATACTTTATCTTAGTGACTATAAACTCAGACATCATTTATTATCCATTTCTATGGTTTTTCCAACTTTCAGATAATATAGACTCAGGGGGCATCAGTGACTAGGCCATGGAGTGAGGAATGAAAATAGTTAAAAAGATATTGTTATTGGACAGGTATTGGTAATACATGCCTTTAATTCCAGCACTAAGGAGGGAGAGTCAGGCAGAGCTCTGTGAGTTTGTGGCCACTCAGGCCTACAGAGCAAGTTCCAGGACAGGCTCCTAGCTCCTCAGAGAAACGCTGTCTTAAAGAAAAGAAAAGAAATATGATTGTAATAAAACATTATATATAAGATGTCTATAGAAACTCCAGTGTTTCTCATGTGTGTGTATGTACTCTTCCCCAACAGGATTCCACCAAGCTCAACTTGTACAAACAAACCAATACAACCTTCACCTGACCCCAATGCTGTCCTACAAAATAGCTTAGAAATTGTTTCATAATCTTCTTTGATACTTAATAACTCTCACAGAATAGATGGTTAAAAGTCTTCTAGAGCATTTACTGAATCAGCATTTCTCCTATGGGAAGGATGGACACAAATTTCAGGGATAACAGAGTACAGAAGCAGCTGTGTCCTTGCTAACTACTTCACTGAATGACTTTTGGAGAATGGTGAGGGAGTGACAGATATTGGGAAAGGATCATAATGAGGAAAAAGAGGGCTGGAGATAAAGAGGATGAGGAAGAGGAAAGAGACTGGGATGACTAGAATGAAACGTTTACAGGAAGAAAAGAGAGGATGGTGAGGGGAGTAGGGATTGGAATAGAAATAACTCATTAATAACATGTATCTTCTCCATCCACAGTGAGCAAATCCCCAACTCAAGTGTCAGGGCAATCCTTCCTTCTCCCGAGCAAGTACTTTGTGATGTTTACACACTGATAACATTCAACATCTTTAATAATTTAAACGTTAAAGACACATTTAATTTCAATGAACATTCACCACTCATATCTTGTTTACATTAGGAGCTCCTTTACTGTAAAGTTATAGAAAGAATATTAACTTCCAAATCTCATAATGAATTAAACACTCCATGATTGGAATATTGAACACCCTGAAGTGCCCTGTATGATTCTGGCAGAGGGATGTAAGTGAAAACTGGAAACTGCAAACATGTTTCTTTTGTGCATTTCATGTTTTGTTAATTATGTTCTTGTTCAATTGTGATACCAGGTTCAGGAAGGAAAATAAAGTTAGAATTAATCCTTACACATACCTGCCTTTTGGATATGAACGTAGAAACTGCATTGGCATGAGGTTTGCTCTCATTAACATGAAACTTGCTATTGTCAAAATCCTGCAGAACATTTCCCTGCTGCCTTGTGAAGAAACAGAGGTGAGACAGAATATTTTATTTGGGGGATTTTTTGTTTTTTATTTATAGGAATTTTATTAACTAGTATATATAAAAATATACTAAAATATATAACATATATTGAATCTATCTATCTTTCTATCTATATATATATATGGATTATACTGTTTATTTTTACCTAATGTATCCTCTATTGAGAGATCTGTATAAAACCGTGTGTGGGCTCCCGGGCCATTGAGTTCTGGAGCAATAAGTCTTTATCTAAGTTTAAATGAAAGATCATGATTATTAAATGAAGATATTCCTTATATGATTATGTATAGTATTATTGAAGCTGAGTAATTTTTCTTGTTACCATTATATAAGTATTCTACAAAATAATAGACTTTGTTATTGCATTTTTTATACTTGTATATACCATATATGGAACAGACTTGTTTTGTTCTTCTCCTCTGATAAAATTCATATTTACCATAGACTCCCCTTTCCTTTGCCCCTTCTCCAAGTCCCCCTTGCCTCCCTTATCCCAAGATCCATTGATCCTCCATTTTCCTTCAGAAAAGAACAAACCTTTTAGGGATATCAACTGAACACGGCATAACGAAATGCAATGAGACTAGGCATAAACTCTCATAACAAGGCGGGTGGAACAACCCAGTGACACAAAAACTGCCCCTGGATCAGGAAAAAGAGTCAGAGACATCTATTCCTACTCCTACTTTTAGGAGTTCCTCAGAAACCCCAAGCTAAACAATCACAGCTTGTATGCAACAGGTCTAGTACAGACCCATGAAAGCTCTATGATTCCTGCTTCAGGTTCCAAGCCCCTATGAGATCTGTTTAGTTGATAGTTTGGTACATGTTCACTAGTATCCTTGACCCCTCTAGCTCCCACAACCATGGAGCAAATTTTTAAGTTATAAATATATATTAATTTTCAAATTTTATATATATATATAGTTAACCTGAAACACAATACATATTTCAATTTCAATATATATATATATATTAAATATATATATTTCATTTTCAAGAGGTATAATGGTCACCTTATTGTCCTTGTGTCATATCAGAATGTCTGTCCAAAATCCTTCACCAATCAAGAGACTTTCAAAGTTCCACAGTAGTTCCCATTTAAAAACACAGACAAAAATCCATGCATCAAACCACTATTCATGAATATGAAAGACTCCTTTGCTTAGCCATTTTATGCACTTTTCCACATATTTTATGGATTCTGGTCTAGACAATCAGGCATCCACCTACATTCTTATATATACATGTGTTTTGTTTCCCTCTTCATTCATCATTATATCTTATCCTGAATGTTCAAATCAACCAAGCCACCTCCAAGCCAAGAACTTTCAGTAGATTTTCTCTGTGAAATGTTTTCCTCTCTTTTAGATATATTATCTTCAGGCTGCCACTGCCGCTATGCCCATAGCCCATTGACTATCACATGTACTTTCATATTTTATTTTCTCTGTATTTATTAAAGCATCCTCTGCTTTCTAAATCATCTAATTTTCTTCTTTCCAAAACTTAAAATTATTCCTCAAAGAACTTTTGTATATTAAAATCTATCAATACATTGAAAAAATTTAAAACTATTCTAAATATTAAAAATTTACAAAATTATTTTAACAGATGCATTTCTTTATGTATTCTTTTAAATGCTTTATTAATTATTGGAGAATTCATACATTTCAACTTATCCCATGACCACCTTCACCTCATGTCACACTCAGTGTTGTGCTCTATCTCCACTTTTCTCCCTAAGTTTTTAATCAATCAAGACCATTTTATGTTATATGATTGTTCTTATTTTGGGGTCTGGTGTGGAATCTTGCTGACTTAAGATATGTCCCAGCCTTAAAGAAAACAGACTGCATTTCACAGCAGTGATCAAATAGTAAAGTTCTTCAGCCTAGGGTTACAAACTCACCATTGTGAGTTGAGTTTACACATGTTACACATGTTCTTATGGGATGTACACCTGGTGATTCAAGTCCTCAGACCTATTCTGTGTGTACTTTTAATGTAATGTATCACATTTAGAAATATGGTTGAAATTCTTTCTCTGAAGAACTTAAGAATGGGTTGTCATTAACTTAAATGAAACAATGCCCAAAAAGTTAACATTATGATTTTTGTATTAAATAACACTCGAAAGTCATTAGGTTATCATCATAGAAGAGGAATATAATATTGTCATTTTCTCTTTGGTGACATGAGTGTAGCTGTCTTTCTTCTCTACACATGAACACAATACAGAAGAATAATTTTATTATGATCATAGGCAAGATTTAGCTATCTAGCAATCTACAAGATAGCTCTAGCTACCTACAAGATGAGTTTCTCAAACTAAGACATATCCTGTTTGTACATTTTTATGCTGATATAGGATTCTTATTCTATTGGATGGCCATCTCTGCCACAAACTGACAAGAATATCATTTTAAAAATTAATAAAATGAGTGAAAATTCCCTTTTAAGTACCATCCTTGAATTATAGAGATACAGAGAACTCATACCTTAAATGTTCCCAAAGTCCTTCCATTATCATTAACCCACAAGTATCAGTTTGGAAGCTTTAGAAATTGTTTAGAAATCAGAATCATATGATAACATTCACCGTGTACAAACCCTACTTGTGATTGTCTTTCCAGTTTTACTGAATAAAAATTAACTTATATAACCTGTTAAAATGTGTTTTCTCTGTGTTCACAAATGTTGTTTACAAGGTTCAAACTTCTAATTTTCAGTTAAAATTTAGATCTCTAGGGGAGACATCAAAATTTTGTTTCAGGCCTTTTACAGAATAGGTGTTCAATTTGTATGTTGAAGTGTGAATAGATTTAAGCATGTTTCGATATTCCATATAATCAATTAAAGATTTTCTTTGTGTTTGTCTTAGTAGGGGTCTCTATTTTTGTGAAGAGACAACATGATCATGGAAACTCTTAGAACAAAACATTTTTATTGAGGTTGTGATTTAACATTTCAGAGATTTACTCTAGGGAGCAATACACCTGGGAGTATTGTGGTGTAAAGGCAGACATATTGCCAGGGAAGTCTCCATCTTAATCCAAAGGTAACAGGAAGTGGCTTGAGACACTGGGCATGGCTTGAACATATGATACCTCAAAACCCATCTCTATAGTGACTTACTTCCTACAAGACCACACATTCTTGAACAAGTCCACACCTCTTAATATGGACTCCCAATGGACTCCCTTTGTGGACCATGTTTTATCAAACCACCACATTCAGAAAAAGTAATTTGCTCAATTATAATGATAGATTTCTTTCTAGAAAGGACGCAGTCCTTGAGGTTCAAGATTCTACAGAACATACTATATAGCTCAGCAAGCCTTAACTTTGTATTCTGCCTCTCTTACTTTTAGAACCTGAAAGTAAGGGTAAGAGCCATGTGATAACACAGGCATAAGTGGCTATTGTTCTTAATATGTTGGTTCTATCAGCCTTCTGTAGAATTCGATGATTCATTTAACTTACCAATGTATTTTTCAACTATTTTAGGTTCCCTTGAAATTAGGAAAGACATTGCTTCTTACTCCAGAAAAACCTATTGTCCTGAGGATTATATCAAGAAATGGAAACATAAATGAAGGTTGATTTTTTTACTTATTCATTTATTTATAAAAATTTCCACTTTCTCCCCTCCTCCCAATACCCTCCCATTCCACCCACTCCCTCTCCTCCTCCCTCTCCAGTCCTAAGAGCAGTCAGGGTTTCCTGCCCTGTGGGAAGTTCAAGGTCCTCAGCCCTCCCTTATTTCAAGTTCTGATATGTTCCTCAAAGAGTGCATTTTAAGTACCTGGATTTTAATTTATTCCTGAAGAAAACATAGATGAATATAACTTTAATCTTTACAGCTTTTATTCTCAGTAAAATAACTAATAGTCTCAGTTATAGATGTCAAAAACAAGATATCTAGCATTTTAGAAGTCTAGTTTCTTGAGTTCTTTATATATTTTGGAGATCAGATCTTTGTCTGTTGCGGGGTTGGTAAAGTTCTTCTCCCAGTCAGAAGGTAGCCTTTTTGTCTTAATGAGAGTGTCCTTTGCTTTACAAAAGCTTCTCAGTTTCAGGAGGTCCCACTTATTCAATGTTGCCCTTAATGTCTGTTCTGCTGGGGTTATACGTAGGATCCACCCATTTGCTTGCAAAATTCAAGATGGCATTATTTTTTACCACTAAGTAAAACTCTACAGTGTATATGATCCACACCTTCTTTATCCATTCTTCTATTTAGGGACACCTAGGTTGTTTCCAGGTTATGGCTATTACAAATAGTGCTGCCATGAACATCTTTGAACAAATACTTTTGTAGTATTATAGGGTATCTCTTCAGTATATTCCCAAGAATGGTATTGCTAGATTCTGGGGTAGTTTCATCCCAAATTTCCTGAGAAACCGCCACACTGATTTCCAAAGTGGGTGCACAAGTTTGCATTCCCAACAGCAATGGATGAGTGTTCCCCTCATTCCACATCCTCTCCAGCAAAGGCTATCATTGGTGTTTTTGATTTTAGCCATTCTGACAGCTGTAAGTTGTTATCTCAAAGTTGTTTTCATTTGCATTTCCCTGGTCGCTAAGGAGGTTGCACATGACCTTATGTGTCTTTTGGCCATTTGAACTTCTTCTGTTGAGAATTCTCTGTTCACTTCAGTGCCCCATTTTTTAATTGGGTTAATTAGCATTTTAAAATCTAGTTTCTTGAGTTCTTTGTATATTTTGGAGATCAGACCTTTGTCTGATGAGGGGTTGGTGAACATCTTCTTGCTATCTGTAGGTTGCCTTTTTGTCTTAATGACACTGTCTTTTGCTTTACAGAAGCTTCTTAGTTTAAGAGGTCCAATTTACTCAGTGTTGCCCTTATTGTCTGTGATACTGCGATTATATGTAGAAAATGGTTTCCTGTGCCCATGTGTTGTAGACTACTTCCCACTTTCTCTTCTATCAGGTTCAGTATGTTCGGATTAATATTGATGTCTTTAATCCATTTGGACTTAAGTTTTGTGCATGGTGATAGATATGGTTCTATTTTCATTCTTCTGCAGGTTGACATCCAGTTATGCCAGCACCATTTCTTAAAGACGCTTTCTTTCTTCTATTGTATACTTTTAGCTCCTTTGTCGAAAATCAGGTGTTCATAGATTTGTGGGTTAATATTCGGGTCTTCTATTCGATTCCATAGGTCGACTTCTCTGTTCTTATGCCAATACCAAGCTATTTTCATTACTGTAGCTCTGTTATAGTGTTTGAAGTAAGGGATAGTAATGCCTCCAGAAGTTCCTTTATTGTATAATATTGTTTTGGCTCTCCTGGGTTTTTTGTTATGCCATATAAAGTTGATTATTGTTCTCTCAAGGTCTTTGAAAAATTTTGCTGGGATATTAATGTGGATTGTGTTGAATTTATAGATTGCCTTTGGTAGAATTGCCCTTTTTACTATGTTGAATCTACCCATCTGAGAGCATGGGAGATCCTTCCATTTTCTGGTAGCCTCTTCAGTTTCTCTTTTCAATGCCTTAAAGTTCTTGTCAAACAGATCTTTCTCTTCCTTGGTTAGAATTACCCCAAGATACTTTATGCGATTTGTGGCTATTGTAAAAGTTGAAGTTTCTCTGATTTCCCACTCTTCTTCTCTATCCTTTGTGTATAGGAGGGCTACTGATTTTTTTGAGGTGACCTTGTAACCTGCTACATCACTGAAGGTATTTATCTGCTGTAGGAGTTCTTTGGTAGAGTTTTTGGGTCACTAATGTACACTATCACATTACCTGCAAATAGAGAAAGTTCAACTTCTTCCTTTCTGATTCGAATCCCCTTGATCTCCTTATGTTGTCTTATTGCTATTGCTAGAACTTCATGAACTATGTTGAAGAGATATGGGGAGAGTGGACATCCTTGTCTTGTTCCTGATTTTAATGGAATGGCTTTGAGTTTCTCTCCATTTAATTTGATATTAGTTTTTGGCTTGCTATATATTGCTTTTATTACATTAGGCATGATCCTTATATCCCTAATCTCTCCAAAACCTTTATCATAAAGGGGTGTTGAATATTGTAAAATGCTTTTTGTGTATCCAATGAAATGATCATATTAATTTTTACTTTCAGTTTATTTATATGATGGATTACATTGATAGATCTTGGTATGTAGAACCAGTCTTGCATCTCTGGGATGGAGTCTCCTTGATCATAATGGGCAATTTTTTAATGTGTTCTTGGATTCTGTTTGCCAGAATTTTATTAAGAATTTTTGCTGGGTCTTGAGGTACATCATTTCCCATTTTAGAAACCATAATGCAGGGTACCATTTTTTTCTATTTGACTGTGTCTGTTGCCCTGTTGAAACTTTTCAGTTTCATAAGGTTCCATTTTAATTGTTGATCTTATTGCCATTGTATTCCTCTACATGCAGACATCCAGTTAGACAATCACAATTTGTTGAAGATGCTTTCCTTTTCCTTTTTCAAATGTTTTTTTAAAAAATATTTATTTATTTATTAAAAATTTCCACCTCCTCCCCACTTGTCTTCTCCCTCCCTCTCACCCCTCCCCTTCCCTCTCTAGTCCTAAGAGCAGTCAGGGTTCCCTGCTTCGTTGGAAGTCCAAGTTCCTCCCTCCTCCATCCAGGTCTATAAAGGTGAGCATCCAAACAAACCAGCCTCCCACAAAGTCAGTCCATGCAGTAGAATCAAAAGCCAGTGCCATTGTCCTTGGCTTCTCAGTCAGCCTTCATTGCCAGCTACATTCAGAGTGTCCATTTTGATCACATGTTCCATCACTCCCAGTCCAGCTGGCCTTGGTGAGCTCCCATTAGATCAGTCCCACCATCTCAGTGGGTGGACACACCTCTCTTGGTCCTGACTTCCTTGCTCATGTTCTCCCTCCTTCTGCTCCTCATTTGGACTTTGGGAGCTTACTCCAGTGCTTCAATGTGGGTCTCTGTCTCTATCTCCATCCATCGCCAGATGAAGGTTTTATAGTGATATGCAAGCTATACATCAGTGTGGCTATGGGACAATGCCAGTTCAGGCACCCTCTCATTTGCTGCCCAAGGAACAACTGGGTACCTCTCCTTGGACCTGGGACCCCCTCTAGAGACAAGTCTCTTTTCAATATTTTATTTCTGACTTCGTAATAAAAGTTCTACTGTCCATAAATGTGTAGATTCACATCTGAATCTTCAGTTCAATTCGTTTGGTCAACCTGTCTGTTTTTATGCAATACCATGTGGATTTTATTAATATAGCTCTATAGTACAAATTTAAATCAGGGGCAGTGGTATCTCTGGAAGTTCTTTGATTGTACACCATTGTTTTTCCTATTTGGGCTTTTTTGTTTTTCCAGTTGAAGGTGAATATTGTCCCTTTAAGGTCAGTAAAGAATTATGTTAGAATTTATTTTCAATTTTTTTATTGATTATTTGAGAGTTTCCCAACCTGCACCCTGATTACACTCATTTTCAAATCTCCACAGGTCCACCCTTTCTCCCTTGTGAATTCCCCATGACAAAAAGAAAAACTCCTAATTATATCGCCCATATACTTACTGGAGCATGATGAAATTCCTGTTGGCCACCCCTTAAAAAAAAAAAAACAGTCCTTACTTATATGTACATCGGTTAGAAGCCATCAGTTAAGAAACACTTCAGCATCCTTATCACAAATTTAAAGAATGTTCTCTGATGACTTTCTGTCTAGGTTGTTACTTTTGAGGAACAGTTATAGGGGGTCATCTTATAGGTCTTCTAGTTCCCTCTCTCTCAGATGTGAGTCTGAAATCATCAATACTACAGAAGAAGTATGATCTATACCATCATCAGTACCTGGATCAATGAACTTTTTCATTGTCTCAGGCACTAAGATTTGTCATGAAACTCATTATGATCTCTAGTAACAGAACAGACCATGAACATCAGCATGGCCTTCTGTTGTGTCATAGGCTATGGACACCGTTGTAGTATCTGCAGCATCACAAGTAGAGAACATCCACATGCCCTCAGATGGCAACAGAAGCCACTCAAATTAACATGGCTTCAGGTGGCAGAAGCCCCACAGACAACAACAGGGCTTCACGTGGCCCCATGGACCACTGACAACTGCATGGCCTTCAGTGGTAACATGGGCCATGGATATTACCGCATCATAGACCACTGACATCAACAAGGCCTCAGGTGGCAGTATAAGCCATTAATATAAACATGCAACCTGCTGACAGCAGCATGACCCATAGGTATCCTCATGACTTTCGGTATGTGTTATAATTTTAATGGGGATTATATTAAATCTACAGATTGATTTTGGTAAAATGGGCATTTTTACTACAATAACTCTACCAATCCATGAATACTGGAGACCTTTACATCTTCTGATATTTACTCCAATTTCTTTCTTTCTTCAAAGACTTGAAATTATTTTCATCCAAGTCTTTCACTTGCTTGCTTAATGTCACTCCCAGATAAGTTATATTATTTGTAGCTATTGGGGAAGGAATTGTTTCCTGATTTTTTTGTGGTTTGTTTTGGAGAATATCTGTGAGGTAGTGAGAAGAAGGTATATGCTTCTGTTTTCCGGTGAAATGTTCTGTAGATATCTTTTGGGTCCTTTTGGTTCACAGCATCTATTAGTTACACTATTTGTCTGTTTAGTATTTGTCTCGATAACTTGTCCATTGGTGAGAGAAGGTTATTGCAATCACCCAGTATTAATGTGTGAGGTTTGATGTCTGATTAAGCTTCAGTAATGTTCTCTTCACAAACGTAGTTGTCCTTAATTTTAAGGCATACATGTTAAAAACTGAAATGTCGTCAGCTTTGTGGGTTTTTCCTTTGATTAGTATGAAAAATCCTTATCACATATCTTTTGATTAATTTAGGTTTGAAGTCTATTTTGTTAAATAGTAGGATAGCTGCAGTCTCTTGCTTGTTCAGTACATTTGTTTGGAATATTTTTCTTTCCAACACTTTATTCTGAGGTAATATTTATCTTTGATATAATATATGTTTCTTGAATGAAGGAGAGTGATGAATCATATGTTGTATCCATTCTGATAGACTGTGTCTTTTTATTGATATTGAGAGATATTAGTGACCAATAGATTGTTAATTCCTGTTATTTGTTTTTGTTGGTGGTCATGGTGGTGATGGCAGTAGTGATGGGGTATATGCGTTTGCTTCTTTTCTTTCACTCTTGCTGGTATGAGACTACTTATTTTCTATTTTTCATAAATGTAGTTAACCTCATTGCTTTGGAGTTCTCTTCTGTTTTCTTCTCTAGGGACAGATTTTAGATAAATATTGTTTGACTTTGACTTTATCATGAAATATCATTTTTCTCCATCTATATTGATTAAAAGTTTTGCATGTATAGTAATTTGGGCTGGAATTTGTAGTCTTTTAGAGTATGAAGTATATTTCTCCAGGGCCTTCTTGATTTTAGAGTCTGCACTGAGAAGTCAAGTGTAATTCTCATAGGCCTACCTTTATATGTTACTTGGTCTTTTTCCCTTGCACATTTAATAGTCTTTCTTTGTTCTGTACATTTAGTGTTTTGATTATTATGTGACAAGGGGGGTCTTTGTTTCTGGTCCATTATATTTGGTGTTCTTAAAGATTTTCCTCCTTTATATGTATGTTCTTCTTTAGGCTAGAAAAATTTTCTTCTATGATTTTGTTGAAAACATTTTCTGGGCTTTTGGGCTAGAAATTTCCTTCTTCTATTCCTATTATTCTTAGGCTTGGTTCCAGATTTCCTAGATCTTTGTGTGAGGAATTTCTAAGATTTAACATTTTCTCTGACTAATGTGTCAATTTCTTCAGAAATCCTCTGTTCCATGTCTTCTGTTGGTAATGCTTGCACTAGTAGTTCATGTCTACTACCTAGGTTTTCCATGTCCAGAATTCCCTCTAGTTGTGTTTTCTTTATTGATTCTATTTCCATTTTCAGGTCTTAAACCATGTTGTTTCCTCCAACTATTTGTTTGTTTGTCTTGCTTTCTTGCCTTTCTTTAAGAAGTTTATTATTTCCTTGTAAAGAAACTCTATTATCTTTGAAAAGTTGGTTTTAAGGTCATTTTCTTGTGCTTCAGCTGTGTCAGAATTGTCAGATCTTGCCATAGTAGGATAGCTGGTTTCTGGCAGAGACATACAGACCTTGATGTTATTGATTGTATTCTTCCATAGTTTAGGCATGTAGATTTGAGATGACTACAGGTCTAGGTACTGATTTCTAAGTTTGTCTTTGATGGATGTTTGTTGTGTTCCTTAGTTTCTGTTTCCTCTTTGGTCTTCTTTGGTCTGCTGCCCTGATATTCAGGCAGCAGGTCTGATATCTAGTCAAGCAGAGAGTCTCTTAATGTTAAGTTAATGGGTGGTACATGGCGATTAGGATGAGAGGGGTCACTGTTGATAATGTTAGTAAGGGTGGATGTCGAGAGAATAATTATATATGTGGGCCACCTATCTGAAGTTCTGGCAGTTGAGTTTGCCTATCTCTTCTCTCAACTGCTATGGTCTTCATATGTCCATTTGACTGGCTTGGCGTGTACCTGAGCAGTCTGTCTCTTCAAGTTGTGGAAAAGAGCCTAAAAACAGGGTGAGTAGTGTCTCAGGAAGAGGTAATAGTTAATTGGTTGTGTCTTTAGGATCTGAACCAAGGATACAGGAAAGTTATGAGGGCATATGGACCACTTTCCTGTTCTTTTGACTGAACCAGAAAGACTTTCTAACTACAGAGAATCTTCCTCAGCTCCTCCTGTGTGATTCCTAAGACATCACTTAAGATTCTACTATCAGGAATGTGGTGTGTGTTCACAGATGACAGTGAAAATCACTATACCATAATATGTATGACATCATGCTTCTAAGGTGGCTTTTTTTATCTTTGAATTCAACATCAGTCATGACATCATTTAGGTCATGCATGTAAAGCATTCCATTTCCTAAACAATTACAAAGTCAATTGAAAGTTAATAATCTCTTCAACTCACTTAAACAAACACTTAAGAATATCCAATCTGATCAAGACTGTGTATTGACACAACTTTATATATCTTGTGCAGTTTATAACACTTAGATTTGAAGAGCTTGAACATTTTTAGACCAACAGCGATGTTAATAACATACCTTCATATTGCACAGGACTTATCCTGGTACCCTACTGTATAATTACCCTGTTCATTTAATCTGCCGTTAATGCAGCAATGTCCCAAACAACTTTATTTGCTTTAGAGTTCCTATGTAAGGAGCCTTTACTACCTAAGCTAATGCACAGTTTAAATCATAATTATGTATTCCATCATGCCACAGACTAAGAGTAATGCATGTGTGTATTTATGTGTTGTCATAATCATTAGCTAAAGTGGCCAACAGTTTGGAAGCAAACCTATAGTTAAATATTTACCATAAGCATTGCAAACAGCCCATAGATTAACTTTGACTGTTGTAAACTTACAATACTTTTTGGTTTTCTGAGTGTTGCAATGTTTGTTGGGGTCAATAAATCAGTTTTCTCCATGTAAAATTGTAAAGTATTCTGTAAAAAGATACATCATCTCTTTCCCTTATTATGGTTTATGTGATGTTCAACAAGTATAGAATAAAGTCCTCTGTTATGAACTCATACATGAGCAATAGTTCCAGACAGAACAACAAGCATAAATCTCAGATTGAACACCACCTATTCCATACAGAGGCAAGTCACAAGAGAAAAATTGGACAATTCAGTCTTGGGGATTTCTCTTGATCAAGATAATCCAAGGGTGATGTCCTATTACATTTGGGTTCATCCGAAACTATCTTTAATATATCTAACTGGCACAGTATTGGAAACATATGAGTGAAGCATCTCTGTGAATCTGAGAGTATTTTTAAATCCATATATACACACACTTTCCTGTATCAAACAAGGGCTTATTGTGAGGTTTTTGTCTTGTGTTTCTCCCATAACATTTTGTTATGACTATAACTATTCATAATTATGGTACAAAAGCAAATGGTGATTCAAGTAAATTGTAGTGTTTGTTTACACCGGGTGCTGTGAAAGGGGTCTTTATACCAAAGGAAAACTTTTCAGTTTTTCAAGACAGGATTTCTCTGTATAACCTTTACTGTCCCAGAGCTAGTTCTGTAGGACAGCCTGGCCTCAAACTCACAAAGATCTACCATTTCTCCCTCCCAAATACTGGAATTAAAGTTTGCCACCACTGCCTGACCACAATATAAGTTCCAAAGTTTCAGAAAGTAAGACTGTCATTAACATATTTGAACAAGTATTTGTAAATCAAAAAACCTTCAAATTAGAGAAAAGAAACTAAAGCTTCCTTGTAAAAAAAGGCACAGAACTGGGCACACTTGAAAGGTTTGTATTTAGACAGCATCTCTCAAGACTTTAAATTAATTTGATCATTCCCAAGCATACGTTAATTATATTTGGCATGACCTACAACATATATAATTGTATATATTCTCATTAATTGTCTCTGTAATCAAAAAAGTATTTTAATAAAAAATACAAATGAAAAAAAGAATATTCCATTAATTAAAGAAAGGCAGCAAAATAATGCAAGATGAACCTTAGATTTTGAAGGGAAGAGATGATTGTTTTGCCAGAAATACTTATGAAATCTAATATTCCTTTTATAATACACAGGCATTCCAGAGAAAGAAATACACATGTATAAAGATTTAGAGATGAGATTTGTATGCAAAGATTTAATGTTTTTAACAGTGAAGACAGCCACAAAAACATTAAAGGAAATTTAATGTCAATCCAGTCTACGGCATTTCTGATTAACAACTATGACCTCTGGTCTCACTGAGAGCATTGGTTTAATTATTTATTAATGTCCTACAAAAAAGAACAGTGAAGAAGTCAAAAGATGGGTTAGCATGAACTATTGTGAACTGTCCACTGAAGAGGACACCCATATTCTCCATACCCATGACAGATACACACTTGGTCTTTCTACTGGCAGTATCAACTGCTCCACCTCCTTTCCTAGAACATAAATACTGTGGCTTAGCTTCACAGTTTCACCCCTGGTCTCAGAAGGAGAACTAAAGTCCTCACCTACAAGGAAAAGTCAGAGAGCAGAGTTTTTGGAAGAAAAGAACAATGGACCTGATTCTAAACCTTTCCAGGGAAACATGGGCACTGCTGGCTACCATCCTGGTGCTCCTCTACCTGTGAGTAAGGACTGGATGCCTCTCCTTTGTGGCCCTAGAGTTGAAATGATTCTTAGACCCTTTTTTATCTATCTGAAAACCAGAAGATATATAATCCAGTGGAAATTAATACTGTCACAACTGAACACATTTTGGCTGTAAACTAAACCATGGATCTCACTGTGCTTTTCAGTCAAAAGTTCTCAATTACTGTTCAAGTTCCAGTAGGCTTAAAGTGGTTAGACTGAGCTGTTTCTATAGGATTGTTTCCTGCCTTTGTTTGTCATTAGTTTGTCACAACAGAATAGGATGGTTTGCAGGATCTAGAACCCACAATGTAGTAATATACATATGAACTTTTAGTTATTACTTAGACTCAGGCCTACTTTCTCTGAGAGCATTGTCACAGATGTTGTTGGGTTACAGACAACAGTTAATACCTAAATGTCTTATGAGTGATCATCTTAGTACAGAAAGCTAGCATTGAGTATCTATGAAGAAACAGGATAGAATTAGTCACTTCATTTGGGCACAGCCTAGTGCTGTTCAACCTTTCCTGGAAAGACAAGAGGAAACAATATTTCACCTCAGCAGGGCACCACTGAAAGACCAAGGTAGGGCACCACGAGAAGACTAACATAGACATTTGTCTAAAGTCCACCTTGCAGAAACTTGAGTTTATGTGGTTATTACAGGAATGTGTTTGAGGTGTTTATTGCAAGAGCAGGAATGGAGCAAAGACAGCTGCAGCACCAAAATTTTATTCTTAGACAGAAAATGACTCCACCTCTATATCCTTAAAATATATTTATTTTTATTTTGCACATATGACAAATTTGCCTGCATGTATGTATACGTACCACCTGCATTTCAGACGCCCATTGTGGTTAAAAATAATGCACTGGATTTCCAAGGAATTATAGACAGTTGTGAGCTGTCTTGTGGTTGCTGGTTACTGAACCTCTGTCCCCTTCTAGAGCAGTAATTGCTCTCAGCTGCAACGCCATAATTCTAGTCTAAGAGCTGCATCTGGGAAGCTCTGTACACTTTTCATTATGAGGGTCAGAACAAATCAGAGTCTTGTCAGCGACTACGCTGGTGGACTACCCTTCACCATCGAGCAACCTCATATTCACTGTTCACATAATGTTGAGAAAGAATCATGTGAATCTTGCATTGTGGTTACCCACACTGATGATGTTGGCTTACTTGCTAACTCTGGTGAGCCCCTCAGTAACATTCAAATTTAAGGACAGAAAGTTTTATTACGTATTAACTTTAGGACTGGGGCCTTCAAGAGTTAACCTAAAGGTTTATAATAAATTGTGTGTTAATGGGATAATTGTAGCACATTTTTATGTTAAATTCTTGCTCAGTAGATAGACTTTTGTAGCTGTCAATAGTTGTACCCAAGGGGAAATAAATCAGTACATACTTCTATACTACTAAATAATATACATAAATGAGAACATATGTGAATAAGTGTATTTATGTTTCTGAATGATTGCATATGTATATTTATGCATGTGTTACAATAATTTTATATTATGTGCCATATAATATTAAATAATATTTGAAATTATGCACATGCATGAATATACATATTCTCACATTCAGAAGCATAAATACATTTATTCTCATATGTCCTCATTAATGTATATTCATGGTTAATGTATGTATTTTGTATGTACATGTGTGAATATATATGTGTTTTAACAAGCTCATGACCTGATTTCTTCCTCTATGTTTTAGGTATGGAACCTCTTCACATGGACTGTTTAAGAAGTTAAGGATTCCTGGCCCCAAACCTCTGCCTTTTGTTGGGACAATGCTTGAATACAGAAAGGTGAGTTACGATTGTATTCCCTAATTTATTTCTTGTGTCTGTGACAGTTTCATGAATGTCATGAGACTATGTCAGTTCATCCGTGTATATGGCCATTGGATGCTAAATTTTACTGCTTTCAGAATAGTTTGTTCTATACGCCTGTCTTTGACCATTTATCTTGGGCAGGATTTGACATGTGGATTTGGGGACCTGAATTTTGTGTCAGGTGTCAGTCTTAAATCTTAACACAGTATTACCAGATGCTAAAAACCTTAAAAAAGAGTATTTGGAAGCATCAGATTTAAGTATTTTCAGTACAGATTCCAGAAAATTACAGTTTCACTGATTCAGCATTTGAAGAAATATATATCAATGATCTTGGGCAGCATCTCAGCAACTTTAATGCAGTAGTCACATCAGAGTTGAATTCTAACATTTGCCTTTCTTGCTGAGCAACTTTAGTGAATGCTTTTAAAGGCACATAGTTACTTCTGAGGAATATGCACATAATTGAATCCTCAATATAACCATTACATAATCCTGTTAGTATTTTTAAGTCTCTAACTGTGTTTTTTTCACTTATGATTTCTTGAGTGTGTAAGTGGGGGTATACTGAGAGCTGAAACAAAAAAGTTTTACTCTTTTTCACTTCAGAGTAGAACCTTATGCAGGATGCTGAGGTGTGGGATTATGACAAACGGGATGATGTTGCCTGTGAACCTCTGATATTTAAACATTAATTGAGATTTGTGCTTTGAAACAGAAGATACTTGATATTTAAAAAAGCATTATTTGACAACTTCATAAAAATGCAAAAATTAGATGTGGTGAGAAGCATATATATGCATATATAAGCATATATATATGTGTTCATACATATATACACTCATAAATATAAACTATTTGTGTATTTTCATATAGCTGTATACACACACACACACACACACACATATATATATACATATATAATTAGAGACATACATAGATAATTAGACCTTTAAATTTATACAGAGCACAGAGCTTTTGTGGATGTTTTCTAAAGGAACAAATTACTGGACTGTCATCCCTAGGGTCAAACCCAGGAGACCAACAAGAGTGTCAGTGTGAAACTCTTACTGCTGGAAAATTTCCTTTACAGAACTTGAGGCCTATTGATCATATCATAATTCTTCCAAACTGATTTTTTCTTAATTTACTAATAATTCCATACTCTCATGAAATTGAAAATAAACAATAATTTTCCCTTCATTTTTCAGATGACATTTTAAATTTATTTCCTTTAAAATACACCTTTTTGCATTATGTTTTCTTCTGTTTTGGGTTTTGTTTCAAGAAGTATCTCCTGTAGTGAAGACTGGCTACAAACTTGCTGTATAGATGATAGCCATGGTTTCCTGTATCTGCTTACTCATCACTTGTGTGTACAACAATATCTTAATTTTCTTGATCTTCACAGATGGTATTTTATTGTATTGTATTTTTAACCATTCACCTACACGTTTACATGTCTTTAAACTTACTGTACTTTCTTCAGGGAACCAAGGAGATTTTTTTTAAATGAATATAAGTAATTTTTCTAAATGCTTTACAGGCATTAGCTAGAACATGAATGCAGAGACAAAGTAAGCCTATCAAAGAAAAGAAAATGCTCTTTAGAACCTCTCAGCTGTTCTGTTACCCTTTCTTTCTTATAAACAGTCCCCGATCTGACTCATTTTGTATATTCATTGTGGCAATGCTCATTCTTGATATTTTCTATACTTGAGCCCCACATTGGGCACAACTTCACCTTAACCTGCAGGAAATAGGGTCCCAAATGGGAAGATTGTGAGAAGTGGAGTGTGAGACTGGAGACAAGAAAAAAGAAGGCACATAACTGAGACTGAGAGTCTTACATAAGCTGACAACTCATGACAAGCATGTATGTTAAACAGCATTGTTTTTTTACATACTATTTGCATGGCTTAACGACAAATGTCAACAGACTTTGGCAAACAACATTGGCAAAGAGAACACAAGATATTCCAGATCTAGCTGTTTTAGGACTGACAATCACAGCCCAGGGGAAAGAATCTGATCCCGATAAACTACAACTTTAATTCCTTCAAGGATCAGGCTCCAGCCCTAGTCCAGCCAAGTCTGCTCCTGGACAAGTACACAGAACTCATGTTTCCTTCTCCTTTCATTATGGCCTCAGAGGAACCTTACATGAGCCTGATTCTCAGCATGAGGCAGATGATCCACAGGTAGAACTCCATCACCTGCCCAGTTACCGAATCTCACACAGCTGAAATTAACATTGCTGAAGAGGAAATTTATTCTGAAGTTCTCTGTCTAGCATGCTCAGCTTAATCACAGAAATGGATATACTGGCCATGGCACAAATCTCTTAACTCTGTACACAGGTGATAATATCAGAAGGATAAGGATTTTGGGTCACCGTTATGATACACACAGAGCTTGAGGTACACTGAGTTACATGCAATTATATCTTACAAAATTACAATACCACTTAACTACAAATTATATATATATAATATATATATAATATATATATATATCGCCAGGTTTTAGAGGTGTAAAGCAGACTGATTATTCAATTTTTATGTTTGCTTCATGTAAATAGGTATTTCCTCATCTTTCCATGTTGAGCATGTACACTAAAGCACCAACCTATTTTACCTATACTTTATTGCTTACTTTTCAGTTAATCTGAACAATAAGATTTATATATATCTAATATACTCCAAGCATAAATGATATGCTCAATTTACTGATTACACAAGAATTCTAGGTACGTGATCAGGTGATAGGGTCAGTAAGTGAGAAAAAAGTAGATTTTGCATATTTTTGACAATCTTCCTGATTTTTGGTGCCCTCATGCTCCCAAAGAATAGAAAAGATGGAGTGTTTCAGGATTTCAGAGTCAATACATTATCAAAACATTATAACAGGTAATGAACAAATTCTTATTTTAAATAGAGAAGGAAACATTGAAATGCATAATACCCTGGGAAAGAAATTATGAATAACTTTAATTTCTTCATGTAATGTGTCTTCTGCATCTTCTTCTTCTCTCTCAGAGACCTTCTTTCAACTGACTTTGAAGGAGTTAAATAAAGAAACTGGTGTCCTGAGATTTGTGTCATGCCTTTTTCAAATAGTGGTCAACATACATAGAAAAGTAATGACTTTTCATGTTATTTCTCTTCCTAGGGTATATCGATATTCGATGTAGAATGCCGAAACAAGTATGGAGATATGTGGGGGTGAGTATTCTGGAAATGTCTATCAGATAGTATTGTGATATTGTGATATGGCACTAAACTGCATGAGTAGCTTGTCAGCAAAGTTACTTGGGAGGCATTGTCTATTTTATAGTGTTTGGAAGCCTGTCTACCAAGGGTGGCATATGCCAGCTTGTGTTGTAACCTTCAGTCTTAAAGTTGCAAGTAATGATTTGTCTGCACACTTCGATGATCAAGTGGCTACGTTTGTCAAATGTCTTATAAGGCATTTTACCTTTATTTATCCTTCCTTGGGTTCCTTTAAATTATGTGAAATGCATTATTACAGACACATGTAATATGTGATCATAATTCAGGAGAGTGTTCTCCCTTGCATAGTCATTCGCCTTGAGTAAAATAAAAATCATTTTTATAAATAATACTTGCAGTAATTATGTGTTTTTCAAATACAGGCTGGAGTAAAAATAAATATAGGGATTTATAGCTATTTTATGTTAAATTACATGTTGATTTTATTTTTAATATTAATATGTTAATATTTCTTTAATTGTTTGAGATTATAACATAATTGCATCATTTCTCCTTTCCCTTGTTCTCTACAAAACCTTCAATAATTGCCTTTTGCTCTTTTTAAATTCATGGTATCTCTTTTCATTAAATTTTGTTGCACACACACTTGCACCTTGCCATTCCTAGCACTCCTGCCCTCTGTGATATTTTTAGGGCTTCCTCACTCTTTCTTTGACCTTTCTGCATAACTTAGAAAAAATATGACTCTTGTTCTGTTTTCTTTCAACTTGACCCCTGCTGGGATTTTCAGTTTCCATCTGTTACTGTTTTCCTCTGAATGTCTAATAAAATTGTGCATGAACTTAAATTACAAAGAATAGTATTGTTTGTTCCTATGTGTTTATTTTCAGGGGTTTCAGTTCCTCCATGTTAGCTCTAACTGTGAGGAATTTAGAGAGCTATTTTGTTGTCATATATTTAATCCTTTCCTGGGTTATGTTTCTCTTCATCTCCTGAACTAAGCAGTGGCTTCTTCTGCTGGAAAGTGTAAGTTGCCATGTCTTGTAGAACCAACAGTAACATCAGCATCAAAATTTAACCATATCTGTTTTCGCAATACAGGCTATATGAGGGACTGCAACCTGTTTTGGTCATTGCAGAACCAGGCTTGATAAAAAACGTGCTAGTGAAGGAATTTTATTCTATCTTCACAAATAGGCAGGTATGTATTTCTTTTTTTAAATATGAGAACAATATACCCACTGAAAGTTTGTAATTATGAAAATGAAGGTATATACATATGACAATTAATAAGAGGAATTGACCATCAGTATGAGAGACTGCAATAAGAGATATATTGGAGGATTTAGAGTAGGAAATAGAAAGGGACAAACTTTATTATAATCAAAAAATAAAAATGTGACTATTTAAAATTTCTAGTATGAGTATCTGGGGATATATCTCAGTGGTATAGGGCTTACTGACATGTATAAGATCTGGGGTTCAGACTCAAGTACCACAAAACCAACAAACCTATTTTCGTGAAGGAATTATGGAATGACTATACAATATACAAGTAGGTTCTATGTATTCTTCATGCTGTATTTTGAAGGAGGGGTCCTCAACCTTCCCTAAGAAAAAGGATAACTTCTCTAATCAATTCCCAACTATGGCCTCTAACTATTTCTAAAAGAGGCCAAGACTGGGTCAGTGGTTTAGGCACTATTGTAGTCTTCTGACTATTTTAGATTGCTATTTGTTTCCCCAACCTTGAAGTACATTTTCTCTAGAGATAGAAAAATTTTACAGAAGCTAAAGTGTACATGTTTTAGGCTAAGACACAGTGTGTTTAACAAACAGCTTGCTGTCTGTGGTAGTTTAATTGTAACAGCCCCTCCCCCACAAGCTCATATCGAGTGGCCCTATTAGGAGGTATGACTTTATTTAAGTAGGTTTTGCATTGTTTCTGGAAGTGTGTCATTGTGAGGGTGGATTTTGTGGTCTCCTATGCTCAAACTACTCTCAGTCTATACACAGTTCACTTCTTGTTGCCTGGGCCCCAAGATGTAGAACTCTCAGCTCTTTCACTGGCATCATGCCTGCCTGTATGTCACTGCCATGTAGATAATGGACTAAACCTTTAAAACTCTAAGCCGTCCCAACTAAATGTTTTCTTTAATAACAATTTCCATGGCCATGGTGTCTCTTCAGAACAATAGAAACACTAATGGGGACACTGTCTAAGTGGTTATTGGCGATGGTCACTTCTCATCCTAGAAGAGCAAATGTGACCCTTTCAAGAGAAAGGAGGTACAAGCATGTTTACAGAGCAGAAGTCATAAGTTCTTGTTAGCTTTTTGTCTCAGGGAGACACTATTTCCTTATTCCTGTGTCACCTCAGATTTCATAAGGGATCTTGGTAATCACAATTAATACTAAAGTTAGTGTTTTTCCTTTCTCCTTCAGTGTTTCCTAGGTTATTTGCTTCTTTGTTTGCTTGCTTTATTTGGCAGTGTTTTTAAGGCTTTATTAGCAAGTGTCATCAGTGCTTATATTCAAGCCTGTGATGATATTTTGTTTGTGCTGTAACAAATAATGCTTGCCTGAAGATCAGAAAGCAGAGATAGCTACACTAGATAGAAATAGAAGCCAGAGGCTGGTGGTGTACACCTTTAATCCCTGCACTTGGGAGGCAGAGGCGGGCAGATCTCTAAGTTTTTGAGGCTGGCCTGGTCTACAAGAGCTAGTTCCATGACAAGCTCCTAAGATTTGGAAAAACCCTGTCTCTAAAAACCAAAATGGAGGGGATCCAGACCAGGATTTACAGAAACAGGACAAAGCTGGTAACCTAAGCCAAAGTAGGCCTGAGGCAAGGAAGTTCAGCTTGGGCTGGAGCAGGCCTTAGGCAAGAAGTTCCACAGAAGTGGGACTGAACCAGCTACCTAGGCTGGAGTAGACCTGAGAAAGCAAGCTCCACAGGATCGGAAGCCAATCCAGTCCCAGGATATTGGCAGATCAGGACTGAACAAGCAGCCTGGTCCAAAGCAGACCTGAGTCAGTGAACTATACCTGAAGAGGTACAAGGGAGTAACTGCTGTGGGTCCAGACATGAATCTGGGACCTTCAAGGGAGTAGACCTAAGCCAGGATCCCTGTGCTTCTGGACATGAGTCTCTGACCTCTGAAGAACTAGGCCTGAGCCAGGACCTCTGCTGGTATGGGTGTGAATCTGGGACCTCCAAGGGTGTAGGAAGGAACCAGATATCTCTGCGGGTCCAGATGTGAGCCTGGGACTTCAGAAGGAGTAGGCCTGAGCCAGGATGTCTATGGGTCCAGGTATTCATCTGGGACATCAAAGGGAATAGGCGGGAACTAGAAACCTCTGCAGGTACAAGTATGAGTCTGGGACCTCTGAGGGAGTAAGTCTGAGCCAGGTCCTCTTCAGGTTTTGGCACACCTGAGCCTGATAACTCTGAGGGAGTAGACCAGGGCAGACCTGTCAGAATTACAGATTTATCGTGGGAGATAATGAAAGTCATGGTCAAGCGCTATGCAGACATAAAGAGACCACGGATGCCAGCCCAGACTATTATACCCAGCAAAACTTTCAATCACCATAGAAGGACAAAACAAGATATTCCATGACAAAACCAGATTTAACCAATGCCTAGCCACAAACCCAGCCCTACACAAAAGACTGGAAGGAAAACTCCAACCCAAGGAAGTTGGCTATACCAACAAAAACACAGACAATTGATGGCCACATAGCAGCAAATCCCAAAGAATGGAAAAATGCACTGATTAACATCACCAAGAGTGAAAACTAAATAAACAGGAGGTAGCAATCACTGATCTTTAATATCCCTTAATATAAATGGACTCAAGCCACCTATAAAAAGGCATAGGCTAACAGATTTAATATGAAAAGAGAATCCACCCTTATTCTTCATACAAGAAACACATCTCAACCTCAAAGACAGACATCATCTTAGAAAATGAGGTGAGAAACAATTACTCCAATCCATGGACCTAAGAAACAAGCAGATGTAGCTATCCTAATGCCTAAATAATAGACTTCAAACTAAAATCAATCAAAAGAGACAAAAAGGACATTTTATATTAGTCACAGGAAAAATACATCAAGAGGAAATCTCAATTCTGAACATCTATACTCCAAATACAAGGGCACCCTCATATGTAAAAGAAATACTTCTAAAGCTTAAATCATACATTAGACCCCACACACTAATAGTGGGGGGCTTCAACACTCCCCTCTCACCACTGCACATGTCTGTCAGACAAAAAATTATCAGAGATATAAGGGAACTAACAGATGGTATGACTCAAATTGACTTAACAGATTATCTACAGAATATTCCATTTAAACAGAAAAGAATATACTTTCTCAGCACCTCATGGAACCTTCTAAAAAACTGACCACATACTCGGTAATAAAACAAAGCTCAACAAATACAAAAAATTGGTATAACCCCATGTATTTTATCAGATTATCATGATTTAAAACAAGAAATCAACCGCAATATTAATTCCAGAAAGCATAGAAACCCATGGAAATTAAACAAAACTCACCAGAATCATCAATGGGTCAAGGAAGAAATAATGGGAGAAATAAAAGACTTTCTAAAATTCAATGAAAATGACCACACAACATACCCAAATTTATGGGACACAATAAAAGCAGTGTTAAGAGGAAAGTTCATAGCACTAAATGCCTACATAAAGAAGCTTGAAAAATCCCACATTAGCAAATTGACAGAACATTTGAAAACTTTAGAACAAAGAATCCAACACTCCTAAGAGAACTAGATAGCAGGAAATAATCATACTGAGAGTTGAAATTATGTATGAAATTAGATTGATAATCGCTCCCATATTGTTCTTTTTACTCAATATTGCTTGTTTATCTCCAATATTTTCTGGTTCCCTCTGAGTTTTAGGCTTTTTTTCTATTTGCATGAAAAACAAATAGTGGGGATTTTGCTTTGTCTTGTATTGAATCTGTAAATTGCTTTTGTAGGCTGATCATTTCACAATATCAATTCTTCCACCTGAAGAGTATAGGATGTTTCTCATTTTCTGGTGTCTAAATATGTCTTTTCAAAGGTTTTATTGTAGGGATTTTTCTCCTCCTTAGTTATGTTGATTCCAAGGGATATTTTCTTTGAGGTTACTGTGACAGGAAGTGTGTCCATGATCTACATCTCAGCAAAAAGTGTGAGGAAGACTACACATTTCCCAAGTTGGATTTTGCATCCTGACTCAATGCTGAAATGCTTGAATATTGCTACAAGTTTTCTGGTGTAATATTCTTCAAATAAAGATAATTTCACTTCTTCCTCTTGTTCAATCTCCACTTCTAGTTCTTTTGTGGTTGTTGTCCTTGTCCTCCTCTTCCTCTTCCTCTTCCTCCTCCTGTTCCTGTTCCTGCTTCTGCTTCTGTTTCTTCTCCTTCTCATTCTCCTTCATTGCCTTCTGTTTTACCCCCACCTTATCTTTGCTTCTTTCTAAAGGCAGTGTTTCTGACCTGACCCCACACATTTATCTCTATGTTATGACAGTACTTAGTCTTTCTCCTGTACTCAGGTGTCCCTGATTGGGTACCATTCAAAGTAGATTAATAAGTCATTCTCCCAGATAGGCTCCTGAGAGGAAGGATCAGAAGATCAAAAGATAAGGAAAATGAGAAAGTTGGGTTCTGGGGGTCTTGCATAAACTATGTCTTATGCCAATTGACCATTCAAAGGGGAGAAATTGGACAGAATCTGCAGAGAGCTATCATATAATGGAATGAAGTGAGAAGGAAACTAATCAAGCAATGTTGCACACAGAAAACACAGGATATCAAAAGTATGTTTCCTCTCTATATATTAGGACCTCAAAGAAAGCTTGGGATACCATAACTCCCAACACCGCCATGATTTACGATTTCTATTTTTTTCAAAGTTTATTAAAATATAAAAGTTTCCATTTTCGCCCCTCCTCCCAATACCCTCCCACTCCCCCCACTCCCTTTCCTCTTCCCTCTCCATCCCTAAGAGCAGTCAGGGTTTCCTGCCCTGTGGGTAGTTCAAGTTCCTCCCTGATCCCTCCAGGACCAGGAAGGTGAGTATCCAATCAGACTGGATCCCCAAAAATCCAGAATATGCAGAGGCTACAAGTCCCAGAGTCATTGTCAATGGCTTTTTAGAAAGACTTCGGGCCA